AAAAAAAAAAAAAACTCATTGATCTTCTCTTGGCATGACAAATTGCCAATGCTAATTTTCTGAATCCCATGTTGTTGAAATAAATTAAGTTAATTTTCTAGAAGGTCTAAGGTTCAAAGAATAAGAGATGGGTAAGAACAGAACTGTTATATATTGACAGTTTACCAATTCAATATGAACAGCTTAGCAAGTTAACCATAGTTTTCTACTCATTGGAATTAGATAAGATCCCCATTTCTTTGGAGGATTTTCATTGATATCTTGCTTGAAACTCCTGCACGCGGTTCCCAAGATGCTAGACACAAAATTTGTACAGGGTTATGCATATGTCCATCAGTGATTTGCCAAATCTTGCTTTGGTTGAAGAAAATCAGGTTCTAGATCATGCCACAAAGCATTGCATCATATTAAATGCATGTATAGATTACTGATTTTGATGCAACAAACTTAATGCTAGAAATACTACTATCATCTTTACCCTGGGGAGGAATTTAAGGAAGTTAATGCTACTACTTTTTCAACCCAACATATTATTTTCCACACACGATGTATATATATCTTGCAGTACACATCTTGTAACTGATTAATATTATAAACGTGGATTAGCTAGGGAAATGCCTACTACTTAAGAGCTAGCTTTGAATAATATAGCTTCATTAGTGAGTTAAATCTCATCAAAGGAGAAATGTCAAGTCAATAATTAAATTGCTAATTACATACTGTTTCATGGTTGCTTGCAATTGTGTTCCACGTGCGAAAGGCATTGACTTTGAACGATTTAATGACATAATTCATTCTTTTCATGGTTGAAGTTGAAGTAAATTAAAGTTCTTATTGTATATTTTCATGTTCTTTATAAATCTACTCATTTTGTAATATGTGATTATTGTGAATGTAGGTTATAATATAGGATTATATATATTTCAATAATCGCCAACATGGTAATGATCCAGCTGCGTATGTATGTTTATATACATAGAATGAAAGTGGTAAGAATACACAAATTATTTATTAAAAATTAGAGATTCAACTAACAAACATTTTTCCTTATAGACATAGAATGAAAGTGGTAAGAATACACGAATTATTTATTAAAAATTAGAAATTCAGCCAATAAACATTTTTCCTTTTAATTTTTTAGAGGTTTCGCCTATAAGCATTGATTTCTCCAAATTCCTCCCAACAAGTCCTATATAAAAATCTAATTTGAAAGTTCTATATGCAATATTTATCTAATAATTAGAACAAGGAATAAATATAAATGAAATTGTAATTGAATGAACAAGCAAAACAATAAAGCAAGTCCCAAAAAAGTGTCTCAATTGGGAAAGGGATATGGCATGTCTGTTGAACTGTAAAGTGGGGTCCTTGCCATGTAAGTACTTGGGTATTCCTTTGGGAGTGGATCCTAGAAGAGTAAATACATGAAAGCCACTAATCGACACTTTCAAAAGAAAATTATCTTCTTGGAGGAGCC